AATAATTTAGAAATATTTAGAAAAATTTAAATAGAAGGCAGCAACGCTTAAAAGATTAATAATAAGCGAAAATTATGCTGCCGATTAATATATGTCGCGTAAGAATGTGCCTAAAAGAACCCGAGAAAACCGGAAAAATAGCCGCCGAATTAGGGTCAAGTAGGGTCAATGACCACGTGGAAGGTCAATGACCTTTGCCTTCTTTGTTCTTATGAAATTTAAAAACGGCCATAACTTAAAAACTATTTGCGGAAACGAGACAGAATTCACTGCCGGTTAAGCCTTAATGCTCTCCCTCTCCCCACCACTTGGGAATTTCGAAAAATCCCTTCTTAGTGTGCGTTTTCATGACGAACCCTAACTGTGTACCAAATTTCATCTCTTCCAACATTCCGCTGGTGTCACGCCGTTATCTAAATTTATAACATTATTTTGCATAACTATCGTGAAAAGTTCTTTGATTTTCTTTTTACCATATTTTTTTCTCAATTTAAGTTTTTTATATTATTAATATCAACATGGCAATTATTCGCGTGACAATGTAAAAACACAGGAGATATTGACTTTAAGTCTTACTGCAGCTAGATGTTTCGACATCCTTACTTTCAGTTTCCTCTTCGTTTCATCAACATAATAGTTCGGTATTCAACATGTACACTAGAGTCTATAGACCACTCCCTGCTCCTCCAATAGCTCTTTATCCTTGTAAGGTTCAGTCCTGATTAGTCTGAATAACCTATTTTTTTTAAAATGTGCCNACACAGGAGATATTGACTTTAAGTCTTACTGCAGCTAGATGTTTCGACATCCTTACTTTCAGTTTCCTCTTCGTTTCATCAACATAATAGTTCGGTATTCAACATGTACACTAGAGTCTATAGACCACTCCCTGCTCCTCCAATAGCTCTTTATCCTTGTAAGGTTCAGTCCTGATTAGTCTGAATAACCTATTTTTTTTAAAATGTGCCTAATTTAATTGTATTTTGATTAAAAAATTTTTAGATATTTTTCAAATATAGGTTTCTGACTTTGATAAATGATTTTGATGGGTTTCATTTTAGTACATATGGAAATATAGTTAAAAATATACCACTCATAAAAAGTAAACTATACCTTGCAACAAACAAAAAATGATAATTTAATTTAGTTTTTTAACGTGATTGTTACTTTTTTTTCAAGTTTTAGTTTTCTAGTCTTTGCACGTGTATTTTCAAACTTAATTAGCATCCTAATACCCTATTTTTATGAATAATTTAGAGTAAATTTATAAATTGCAAAATTTTATATCGGTATGAAACATATACTACTAGTTTTACGAAAAGTAACTTTGTGATATATGTCAACGTAACCCTTACACTATTTGAGAAAAAACAATTTATCGTAATAAATTTCTACAGAAATCTCTTTTATTTACGTGTAAATACGTGGAGAAGACATGGTAAATTTCACGTGATTGGCCTGTCAGCTAAGCGCGCACTCGCTACCAGTTACTCGTGTGTAGTGTGTATATGAATATACGCGTAATATTTAATATATAACTCGGTTTAAAAGTGTAATAAAAATAACAATTAATTACATATATATCAGGATGTTTCGTTTTTCATTCTGCGTAATTTAAATGATGTACACAACAGAAATGAATGTATATTGTTTAATTCTAGATGGCCGAAGTATGGAAAAATTATCACACTGATGTTAGTTGTGGCAGGAGTTTTATCACACATTATTAATACAAATATATACAAAGTTCACACAATAGTTGGTTACTCTATTGATATTAGGTAAGTAGAAAAATTTTATATAAATTTATTTACAGGAAAGCACACTATACTCGTAAAGTCAAAAACCAGATATGCGTTTTCTAAACAAAAACATTAAATATTAAAATTTCATTATTACATAGAGACATTACTTTCATTATCACACGATTACAGATGCTAGCAAACATCGAAACATTACTTTACAATATGTTTTAAATATCTACGAATTTGTTAAGATATTATTTGTTATATCCACAAGATTAAAGAATGATGTACTGATGTCAGACGTACCAAGTGATTTTTATTAGAGTACTTTTATTTAACGCTGTCCAGGGAAATATTTAGCAATTTAAATTCAATCAAATCTAGTATGGTAGAAAAAAAATAAACTTTTATAAGAATATGATACCAAAGTTCATCATAGTGGCAAAGTTACAACGTTGGTAAAGTTACTTAAAGAAAGATCAGCCGAAACTTAATTCACAGGTTCTAATTTATCATCATCGAAAGAGTCAATTTCAATGTATATGAGAAGCATCGCAAATAACGAATTGTAGTTAGCTTAACAAAACACTGCCCGTAGTCTTCAGATTTTGCGCTATCAGAATGGGTTTCGTGCTGGGTAGTATCTCCTGCATCGCTAAAATTTCTATATGTAAGAGTTTCATACAATAAAATAGATTTTNGAGAAGCATCACAAATATCAAATTGTAGTTAGCTTAACAAAACACTGCCCATAGTCTTCAGATTTTGCGCTATCAGAATGGGTTTCGTGCTGGGTAGTATCTCCTGCATCGCTAAAATTTCTATATGTAAGAGTTTCATACAATAAAATACATTTTGCTCCCTACGTCAAAATCGGCACAGAGGTGAGATTTAGTACAAAGTTTTCTATGAAAATATTTTCTGAAAGAGCTGAAATTTCTAGATACCAATTGAATGGCATTTGGGCAGCTCAGTATCTCTGAAAACATCGTCAGATAAGAGTACATAGTTTATCATAATAAAATATTTTGAGGTTTTTATTACTTTCCTGTTTAATATTATTAATGCACTATGAAATGTTGAACCATCGCACACCATGATATAACAGAAGAATGTGCATGACAGCATAATCTGCAACATAGACAAATGTTTCTTACCATTCATGAAAGGATAAAAATTCGCCTGCATAATCAGAGAATCTGATTTTTTTAATAACTTTTTCTTTCCTGTTGAAGGAAGGTGTTATTTTAACAGATTCATAATAAGATTGGAAGGCCCACAGTGGGGCGGTCTAATGCTCGCACGTACAGATATTCCAGGCCATGTATTGAAACGATGGATTAACGAAAAATTCTTGAGTTTTTCGACCTGTCTAAAAACCGCGCATAACATAGTAGGATTTTCCTTTCTTCATATTTGTTGATAAGCTCTGAAATGGTTGAAATGAATGAAAGAAGGAAAATATGGATTGACTGTTTCTTAATGTGTTCTTTGAATTTTTAATTTTTTTGCGGTGTTTTGTTTTTAAAATAACAAATTTGAAAATTTTTTGTACTTTTGTTTGTAATGCTATTATATAAATATATCTATATTGTTTTCTTTTTATTATTTTCAGAAAACTTTCGAATTATGTGAATTACAATTACACGAAACCTTACTATACACATCTCAATTCATTTTTTACTGGATTTTTATTTGGATTCGTTCTGTTGAAGAAACCAGAAATTAAATTTGGTTATGTAAGTATTAGATTTTTTACGCAATGCATACAATTTCACAAATTTCATTTATTTAAACAACGACGTTTTTGTAATTAGTCAAACAAGAAATTTGAATGCTGCCCTTCACAAAGTTACTAGTTTAAATTTGTAGAGTAACATTTCAGGACATGCAGATGATATTTCCATAAGAAAGTATTACAAAAACTTGCGTCTATGCCACTTTTTATGCAGCTAGAAGAAACATTTTATATGTACAAGACATTTATGCAAACCGAATTTCATTGATATGAGAGATAATTCTTAATATATTTTTCATAATTTCGTAATGACGTTCATATTGAACGTCATTACGAAATTATAAAAAATATAAACAATGTGTTCCACAATCAACATGATCCTATGCGACACTTCTCATATGCAGAGATCTCAACTGNATTTCGTAATGACGTTCATATTGAACGTCATTACGAAATTATAAAAAATATAAACAATGTGTTCCACAATCAACATGATCCTATGCGACACTTCTCATATGCAGAGATCTCAACTGTTTGACATTTGGCTAGCCAGTCTGTTATTTTTCCTCTTGCGGTCCTACTAAGCTACCTGACACGCAAAAATGCACGCCGTTTATTTTCCGTTGTTTAAAACGGCGAACCACAGTCGTGATAGTGATAATTGCATTCTTTCTTTAATACAATGCTGTAAAATTAAGATGATCAGGCTAACTAATCATAAACGGGACTGAAACCGTACAGTACATAGAAGTTTGGTTACATTCGTTGATTAAATTATATTTTACAGTTATTTTTACTGTTATGATCTGTAAAATATATTATATAACTATATTACTAATAATCTATTATTAGAACATTTTAGAGTGTATATGACAACAATTAAGTTAAAAATAAAATTAAAATATTTAAATGTTTCAAAGCACCTTTACAAAAACGGTTCTAGCATTTGCAAAGTTATTGACACAAGAAAATGTATTTCTTCGTGAATGCGTGCTGAGTGAGATAAACATGCTGCTGATAGAATAGTAACTGAAAAACATTGTCTGTTTTATTATTGTTTTAGCCGGCTTTTGATTATGCAGCAAGGTATTGAAATTTTTCCTTACAAATTTCTGGTGTAGGTGGACTGCTATGACTGATTGTAATACAGTAGGATCTCGTTTAACGCTGATTCTATACAACGTCGTCCGCTCGATGCTTAAAGAAAGCTCAAAGTATACACTTGTTCAAATTATCGCGGCATTTCATTGATTTATGTATAGAATACGATTATTTCCGAACACGAACCAATTAGCATAACGTTAATCGTAACACCATACTTCTCTTAAATCTATGTTTTTGTACTGTAATTTTGGAAAAAATATAATATTGTTGACGCCATCGGCAACATCGACTTCTTTTGACAAGTATTAACTGATAAATACGTGAACGGACTATGCAAAAATTTGTGGATGAAAGTATCCAAAAATTCTTGATGAAAATTGCTTATCGTTGCCGAAATTGTTAAAAAAAAAGTATTGCAGGTATCTGGAGAAATAGTTATTAACGACAATTTTAAATACTGGCAAAACAAGGAATTTTGTGTACAACTGGAAAATAGTGATTTTGAAAACAAAGTACCCAAATATCTTTTTACAGATTTCCTTAGTGAAAGTTTGACAATCATAACCGAAATCGTTGATCAAACTGTAGCGAAAGATCTAGATTTTGAAAGGAAAGAAAAAGCAATTCAAGGCGTTTTGCATGCCATCTTCCGCTACCGACGTTTGCTTAACGAAAGAAAACAACAACAAATGACCCTAGAGCAGTGTTCCGCAACCTTTTTCTACTTGCGGCACACCCATGACTTCAATACGGCACACCAAAATATTATTACCCTCAAAAACGTATGATATGATACTATTAGTAGAATTACGTAATGCCACTAACCTATTATTATTGTTATTAAACAAACACCAACACCTGTGAGCAAATTTTTTTTACGTATAATTTCTTAGAATACACAAAAATGCGTAGCTTGTAATAAAGAATAAACAAACATCATCTTATTTCATGAGTACTGCGGCAGAGAATGAAATACAAGCATAAGAAACACAACAACTGTGATAAAAATATATAAATAAAATTTGANCTTGTAATAAAGAATAAACAAACATCATCTTATTTCATGAGTACTGCGGCAGAGAATGAAATACAAGCATAAGAAACACAACAACTGTGATAAAAATATATAAATAAAATTTGAAATTAACAAAATATGTAAAAGTTCACGTCACACCTTTTACCATGTGACGGCACATCAGTGTACCGCAACACACCGGTTGCGGAGCACAGCCCTAGGGTAAGGACGTTCATCACAAAAAATGAACTTCACATTACTGAATGCATATGTTTATATTTTTATTTAACATATATTATTACGTAAGTGAATATAAAAATAAATAAAAATTACAGTAAAATCTGTTTATTTTTGTAGTATTCTCTATTTACTCTGTGTTAAAATGACCTCGTTTAAGACGCTCTTTTATTTAGCCCTTTGTCTTCTAGAAACGTATCCTTTCCGTTTAGCGTGGTTCTACTGTATTAATAATTTTACTCTGAATGCTAATCCATACCCTTGCCTACGATACCGCAAATGAAAGATTCAAAGCAAATTGTGAGTAGATTCACCAGGCAAGTAAAATACTATAAACCCAATTACTTGCCTGTTTTTATTGGATAAAAGCTCATCTTTAAGCCAGAGTTATATCGAAGGTTTTGTTTCAAAAGCGCAATTGCTATTTAGACTACAAAATGTATTTTTTTGTAAATACATGCTGCATCAGATAAACATGCTACTACTAGAATAGCAACTAAAAAAACATTGTTCTCATTATCCTTGTTTTAGCGACCTTCTGATACTACATATTAGGTATGAATCGTTATCTATATGATATACAAATATACTATGATTAACAATTTACTTTTGTTAATTAAACTTCTCTGAGGCAACGTAGGGAGAAGTTCGTCACACTTGCCATTTACTCGAGCATTATTTACCAATGGCCTCAGAATCGTGTGCAGGGCATTATTCAAGGAGATATTCTCGGAGAAAGTAATAGCATTAGTGTAGTGAAACCAAATCATCATACGTAATCAATGATTGGTAAGATGAATGTTTACTGTTCATCCTTGTAAATCTTATGAACATTAATTCGTTTTTTGTATCAGTAGACGGATGTAACGGTGCAGTTAATAAAATGTACGCAATGTTTGTTAAAATATTTTACATTAGGAAAATACAGTAAGAAAGGAATTTTTCACATGTGTTCGAATAAATGTCACTCAGCACAAACTTTATGATAAAAACTGTAAAATGCATTAATAACCTGTAATCTGGACTGCAATAATTGCGGTTCTGTTTGCGCGCACAATGCCTATTGCAGCATAGGATTTAGAAACAGCCGGAAAACAATAATTTAACAATATAATGCACAAGTGCGTGTACCGTTATAAGGCTGCCCACATCATATCGTCTAGGATTCAGCAAAGAGAGCGCAAATAGATTTTCAAAATGAGACTGAATTTGTTGTAGTAGATATTTTAACAGATATATTTTTGTTGTAAATGTTCCTGTGGTGGAAAGCATGTGCTCAACGACTTCTTTGAATTTGTTCAGGGACAGTTTTAACAAATCATCAGACGTAAGTGTGAAATCGTTGACTTTAAAGATGATTGTAAACAGTGTTTTATAGATATGTGAAGAATTGAAGTAATATATAAGTCTAGGAATGAAATAGCATGTGGTTTTAAGAGTCTAGAGAAAGCACTTAGAAATACAGTTTTTATCACATTTAATATACCAGAGTTTGTAGTTTCAGTAAAAGAGTACGTTTTGAAGAAAATTTTGAAACTTTTTACAGTATACGCTTCCTTCTGCTGAGGCTCTTGTAAAAAAGAATACATTTTTAAGTTTTGAAAAGAATATTGTTACTCTCAGATCGAAATTTTGCGTGACAGGTATCAAGAAATGCTAAAATTTACTTTACAGTGTACGATGAATTTTATGACTAAGAATTCCATATTTAGTTGTAAAATAGCGTTGAGTGAAGACTGTCGAATGGATAGAAGATCAAATGCTTTTTCTGAGATGAAAATTGTCAATGGTTCGCAAGTGTTTTCACTGCTCACAAAACTTGCATAACTAGTTCTCGTAATGCCGAAATACAATGCTAATGCAAATGAGTGTTTTCAAATCCAGTGAAAATAAAACTTATTCAGAGTATTATTGGACAATTTTAAAACTCCGTCATCCTTAATGGCTGTTGAACTAAAAGAGTTTAGTAACAAAAATGTTATCAGCTTGAGGCTGCTTAAAACATCTCTGATTAAAGAAATGTACGAAAAACTATCGTGTAATCTATAACATTTTATTAAAATATGTATGTGAGTTATGGGATGAATTGTATTTTCTTTGTAATGTAGTATAGTAAGACTCTGCCTGTAATTGTTAAAGTTTATATCTAGTGTTTCCACAAATGTTGCTGCTGCTTTTCAGTTGCTTGCAGCATGAAAAGTGCCATACTGAGAAGTTCTGATACAAACTTATTTACGAACATGTTTATTGCTCATAATTAAGTTTACCACGATATACTCGGTTCAATTTGAATGCTAACTTGCTCTCCAGAGATCAATGAATGACGTTTCGGTCAGTGAATGCTTATGAAGATGTTTACAATTTATTGTTAGTAATTACTTATTCTTTAAAGTTTAGTAATAATGACTTTTACTCTATCTATGAAATTATTAATTTTAATAATAAAACATTCAGTTTTCATTCTTATTTTAAATTTAAAATATGAAAATTTATTGATTTTCATTCTGAACCTCCATTAGTTTATTCTGAAGACCCTAAAGAATTAGGAAACAAAAATATAGATAATTGCAAAAGGCTTTCTGAATATGTATTATTGGAAAGACTTTTGCAATTAAAAATTTTAAAAATAAAAATTTTCACTGTTGTGTAAATCGTCATAAGTATTTACCTGTCGCAATATTTCACATCTCAGATGTATTACTTTAAATTTTTCCCATCACATAAAATGGACAGAAAATTAATATATCGATATTCAAATAGACCATAAACAATATTCATTTCGATCAACTAGAAACAGCAAATATAAACTACTAGCAGACCCCGCCACGCCTTGTGGTGGCTCAAAATGTATCTATTATAAATGTATAACACTTTCCCCGTGGGGGAAAATTTTTCGAAAAATGTTTTCTTAGTGTACATTCTCTTGATGTACACTATTAAAACGCAATCAAAAACGCAAAAACCCGCATATAAAATAGTATAATAGAAGCCAAGTTCTTCACAGTAAGCCTTAATCCTGTCTCTCTCCCCCGCGGAGGGAATATCGAAAAATCCCTTCTTTGTGTACATTCTGTTGACGTACTCTATTAAAACGCAATCAACAACGCAAAAAACCGCATCTAAAATAGTATAAATAGAAGCAGAGTTCTTTACGGTAAACCTCTCCCGTAAGGCTTACCGTAAAGAACTGTCCATCTCCCATGTTTAACGGAACACAGGCTGTATATTAATACAGCCTGTCCACCCTGAAGTTCCATTCTAAATATTGGTGAAAGAAGTTTTGAAATCGGATGAGTAGTTTCGGAGATTACCTGCTGCATACAAACTAACATACATACAAACATTACCTCTTTATATTATTAGTATAGATTTAAGATAAATATAAGTCTATTTATGAATTACAACACCAACACGGTAAATATTATACCGAAATACTGTATTATAAGATTAAGGTTGTATTTACTTGTTACAAACCATCGACTTTCAAATATTAAACATGTCTGCCGGATCTGCCAAAAGTGAAACGCTTTCATGCTTCCCGTTAAATGTGTTGTTCAACTCAATAGTAAATTTTACAACATTTCTCTTAACGAGTTCAACGTCAATATGTGACATCATTATCTTTACGTTTCTTTCTCCTTGTTCGGTGGCGTCGGTGTTGTCGTACTGCACTTACCAAAAAGTAGAAAAGTGATCATTTTTTTCGCCACATAATCTCGCTTGCTGGCAAATCACTCGACAAATTAGCTAGCCGCGTTTGCATAGTCTCACAATTAACCAGACAGAAGAGCGAAAAACGAATTAACCGCAGAACAGATTGCGTTTACATTTCCAGCGAACTTATTTTACTTCATGGTTTGAACTTGGAATAGAATTTATGTCAACGAACTCTGAAAAGTTTAAAATTACAGACGTTCGAAGTATCAAATATCTCTGTAGTATAATTATATACTGTGTGCACAAATTACTTTATAGAGGTAAACCATTTTTATACTGTCCATGAAAGACATTTTTTTATAAACAGATACAAAAGCAAGAGATGAAACTAGATTTTGTATTCATAAGTTAATTACAACGACTATTAATATCAATTTAATATTGCAAAATGTTTTTTTTTTACTAGATCTATACAAAACCTGGAAGCAAAATATTTTCATTATAATTAAAGGTATCGTTGATTTGCGCGAAAAATTAATTTTTTGTGCTTATTGCGCCTTAATCAAAATACCATATCTATGTTAAGTAAGGATAGCTGGTAAAGCTGAATAAATTGTTAATTCTACTGCATTGTTCTATGTATTACTGCATTCTACTGCATTAATTCTATGCATCTCATAGGGATTGCCTCAATTAATTTCGCTCTTTAATGAAATTGTGAGGGATACCTGTACTAAAAACTCTTAACCTGTAAATTGCCTTTCTCTCTAATCCCTGTATATTTATGTATCCCTGTAAATAAGTCTTAAATTTTTCAAATTTTAATGTAATATTAATATTTGATAGTATAAAACATAGTTTTAATTGATATTCCAGAAAACACTTCTCGTATTTTGGATTGGAAGTTTTATATTGATAATGTTGGCAATATTTGGATTGCACGATTATAAAAGAGAAACGTTACCAAAAGACACTATAGTTTATTTACATCATATGTTATCTCCATTTGCTTTTACTGTGGCTACCGCATGGATTTCTGTTGCATGCGTTACTGGACATGGTGGTAAGTAAATAAGTTTTTAAGCAATTACACATGAAAAAAAGTCATTGTATAAAAATGTTATTCGTAAATTTATTTTTTAATTCATATTGAGAGCATATTTTCATTGCAGGTATCTGTAATCGAATTTTGTCATTGCGAATATTTTGTATGTTGGATAAATTAATTATTTGGATCTACATGCTTCATGTACTAGTTTTAATGTATATTTATGGTCATTTACGGAAAGGTCTTTACGCATCAGCAATAACTATGGTAAGATTAGTTTAATAAAAAAAATAAATAATAAAAATTCAGCAAATAGTTGCTTAACTTTCTCGGCAACATATAAGTGAGCATGTGATATCAGCTCATGATATTTTATCACTAAAACATTTTACATGTTTTAGTATTATAAAATAGCAGTAAACAATTTTGGAGATATGAAAGGGTTTTATAAATAAATTGTAAATGCTAGTAACGAGTAAAATCGTCATAATGTTCGATGCTACTTGAGATATGACACACAACTTGCCTTTATTTTCCTACCTTTCTGACCTTTAACAACCAGAATTGAATACCTTGTCCCCTAAAAACAAACGTCCTTGAAAAATTTTAAAAATTTTGACAGCAGGCACAAGAGTTATTACGCTTCAAATAAGGTGATAAAAATTGTGCTCATCCCACATACACACACAGTAACGTCCAAACGTACGGAAAATCACCGAATAACTTTCATTCCTCGATGTTTCACGATCAGAAACGTGGCTTATGGTAAAGAAAAGTTCATGGTTACCCGCAGAAAATGCTCCTATTAATCAATATGAATAGGAGCATTGTTTGCGAGTAACCAAAAACTAAATTTTTCTTTTTTACTTACTGTACATAACTGATTTTCCCAGAGATCCTTTTTGTATATAGATCTATATTCTATTCAACAAAAATTGATAAGTAAGTGAAGAAAAAAAAACGAATTTCTGAAATTTTAGGTAGTGGGAAATTGAAACTAAAAAGGTGAGAAAATATTCCTATAATATATTGTCACGAGTGAGTATAATTTATTAATTAAGTTAAGTGACCAGGGAATCATACATGCTAAACACCTTTCATTTAAAGTAAACTAGAAATCAAGAACTTATGTCCTTAGATGTTAAGAGGAATACGGGGGACTTTCCGCTCTTTTTATGAAACCTGATAAAAATATACAACATAAAGATAAGTCTAAAATTAAATATATATTTTTTGTATTTTATACGGAAGCGTTACAACAAGGTTTAAATGCAAGCGTTTTAAACATTTCGATTATAACATGTATTTAAAAATAATAGATATTTTAATTTAATAAATAAAAGTTTTTTTATAAATTAATGCATGCTTTTTCTTTGTTAGTGGATGCTGTTCCTAATGGTGATGTGTCTAACCTTAATTGCATCGTTACTCATGCATTTATTTGTAGTAACACCTTTAAATTATCTTGTTGATAAAATATTTGAATTTTTCTGCAAGAAACAAACAGTGAAGCGAAAGGAAGATTGAAGAATTAGTAATATGCGTGAAAATCAAAGCAGTCTCAACAATGAAGTCTAATATCAATTATCTTTATGATTAATATATTTGAAAACATTATGATTCCCAAATATAATTAAATTGATTTGTAAAAAATTACCTAAATGTATCCCTTTATTAAATATATTCAAATGTAATGAATAATTCAGGTATAATTGTATTTAATTCAAATAAAATTAAAGTGTTTTTAATATAGTATGGTTACTGTTTATTCAATTTCTATGTTCAATTTTTCCTTTTAATCCAAAACATTTTTCTTGGTAGACGATCTCACAGTCTTCTGGTCAGAAAATTATCGCTTTATTTAAAAATTCGGACTGCAAATGCATTTTGGGTTGGTTTACGTTTTCAACCCCTCTTCAGTGCTGTTCAAAAAATATATATATAAATTGTATTTAAGGACACAACATTAATTAAATATCACTTTAAAAAATATCTACAATACAAACACTTACATATCATATAAGGGCACATATTATCAATAAATATTCTATTTCTGTATTTTTATCTTTATTTTCCATAAGTAATATGTTCCCTTTTAATATGAATAAATCATATTACTTAGAATGAATCATACAAAAACATACAATGAACACAGATAAACAAACTTTATAGATGCTAATTTTCGTCAGTATTTCCTTTATCGACGTTTATTAAATTTCACGTGAATCTGGATAAATAACTATCAAATTTAAGTTATAGTTAAAAATATACATAAAACTAATTATGAACTAAAATCTACAATGTTTGAAGGAACTTTTCCTAAAATTGATTCAAAACCTGCATATATAGGGGAGAGCGGGGCAAGATCGGCATGTTAAGCTTTACTTAAATTTTGTGTAATAAATACTGCTGTAAACTGATAAAAAAGCTTTGCATATTGTCTATTGGAATGTTACCTTAGTATAGAACTGGTTAAAATCAGTTTGGAAATAAAAATAATTAAAATAATTACAACTTTACAAGAAGAGAGAAATTGACGAAGTTGCCCCGGGTATAGGGGCAAGATCGGCAACTTTTCTCTTTTTGTAAAGTTGTAATTATTTTAATTATTTTTATTAAAGTTGCCCCTGGT